AGTGCTCTGGGAGGCTGAGGCTGGAGGATCAAAAGTTTGGACAATTTAGTGAGACCCTGTCTCAAAATAAAAACTTTTTAAAAGGTCTGGGAATGTAATTTAAGACTCTGGGTTCAAGTCCTAGTAATGCAAAGAAGAGGAGGAAGAGAAAGAAGAAGACTCCACCCACCAACTATTGTACTTCTTTCCTAGGGGCAGGGAATGTGATAAACACAACAGCTTGTTTTTCACTTTGTAAGGAATATCTTAACACATCTACTATGGTTTGAATTTGTCCACCAGAAGTTAATGTATTGGAAACTTGGTTCCCACTGGGGTTACATTAAGAGGTGATGGGAGCCTGGTGAGATGGGGCCTGATGGGAAGTTAAAAGGCTGGCCTCAATCAGGCCCCAAATTCAAAGACTCAATCCAAAAATAGGCATCTGGGGCTGGGGATTTAGCTCAGCGGCAAAAAGCGCCTGCCTGGCAAGCGCAAGGTCGTGAGTTCGGTTCCTGGTACCGGAGAAAAACCAAAAAAAAAAAAAACAAAAATAGGCATCTGAGATGAATACACACTTCTCAGATGAAGAAATACAAACGGCAAATAAATACATGAAAAAATGTTCAACATCATTCGTCATTTGAGAAATGTAAATTAAAACAACACTGAGATTCCATTTCACTCCAGAAAGAATGGTTATCATCAAGAAATCAACCAAAAACAAATGCTGGAGGGACTGTGGAGAAAAAGGAACCCTTCTCCACTGTTCATGGGAGTGTAGACTGATGCAACCACTGTGGAAATCAGTTTGGAGAGTCTTCAGTAAACTAGGATTAGAGGTTCCATTCAACTCAGCTATTCCCCTTTTGGGTATTTTTCCAGAAGAACTGAAAACCTCATAACACAGTGATATATGTGCACCCATGTTTATAGCAGTACAATTTGTAATAGCTAACTCGTAGAAACAGCCCAAACACCCATCAACTGAGGAATGGATAAAAAGCTGTGGTATTTTATATAATGGAATATTACTCAGCTATAAAGAAAAATAAACTCGAGGCTTTTACAGGTAAATGGTCACCACTAGAGACTATACTCATAAGTGAAATAAGTAAGACTCACATGTGTAAAGATCATATTGTTGCCCTAGTATAAGAACCTGAAAAAGTAAATGAAATCTAAAAGGCACAATACATAGTGTGAAAGGGAAAGAAACTGCTCAAAAGGAAAGAACAACTGGGATGAGGGAAAGGAGAAAATAAAAGCAAAGGGGAAAATATGTATATATATACACACACACAAGATGGCTGGGATAATTATACTATTAATTTCTATTGCTTTCTTGAAAAGAACAGTTGTTATTTACTTGTTTGATCATCCTTACATGTGTATATTTGTTTATCTGAGTAACTAATATGAAGATAACAGTATGCAGTACAACTATTGGTAATTTCTTTTCACCTTGTCTGAAATTCTGTATTGTCTTTATTGTTTTTATGTTGCCTCATTTATGTCTCTGTGTTTGTTAATATGTTTTGGTTCTTTTACATTAAAAAATAAAGTAAAAATTTTACAAATTTTACAAATACTGGCCTCTCCACTCTGGTTTCCTATCTTGTCATGTGATCTCTACATCTTCCTTGCACCCTCACTATTGTGGTACCACCCACTGTGAAGGAGAGATCACTAGAACCATGCTGATGCTGGCATTATGCCCTTTAACCTCTAGAACTCTGACTTAAATTAACTTCTTTTCTTTATAAGATACCCAATCTCAGGCATTTAATTACATTATTAGAAAATGGACCAATATTCCCAGACCCCTACATGGTACATTGACTAGACAGGCCCCTATGTATTTGTGGGATTTATTATCCATCTTCTGGTACATATATCATGCCTTATCAAATCATCTAGGGTGTCTGTTCCTTCCTGCTCTCAAATCCATCAGGGTGACATCATCAAGGCTTATTGGCCTGATATCCATTGGAATGGTGATTCCCACAATCCTACGAACCAGGTGTGTCTGGAGAAGACATAGCCCAGAAACAAGTTAGTAAAGGTTGACTGCTGCCTTTGCTAAATGAATACAAACTATTGTCCATGTTTGGAACAGTAGTCCCCTTCAGCAGTTTCACTTCCCACAGAGTCGGTTACCTGAGGTCAACTGTGATCCAGAAATGTTAAATGGAAAACTCCAGAAATAAAAAATAAAATTTTAAATTATGAGCAGCTAAGTAGTATGATGAAATTTCACACCATCCCTCTCTGTTTTGCCCAGGATGTGAATCAGCCCTTTGTCTACACACTACCTATTAGTCACTTAGTACCTATCTTGGTTATCAGATTTTAGTATATGTGCTGCCAACGTGAGCATAATGGTATCACAGTGCTTATAGTCAAGTACTTCTTATTTTACTTAATAATGGCCCCAAAGCATAGGAATAGTGATGCTGGCAATTTTATTAATATATACTGCGGAAACTATACTATTACCAGTTATTGTTGTTTTCTTATTGTGCCTAATCTACAAATTAAACTTTATCATACATATGTATATATTTTAAAAGTATGTGTATATATATATATATATACATACATACATATGTACAAACATATACAGCCATGTATCTGTGGTTTCAGGCATCCATTGGTGGTTTGAGGTGTATCTCCTGAGGATAAAAGGGGACTTATAGAAGAGAATAAGCACCTACTAGACCTCTGATTGACTGTTGGGAATCAGTAACTGCCAATCTGCTCCAAAAATTGCCCGCAACTGGAGTTCTTACCAGAGCAAGCTTAAAGTTTATCATAATGGTTATTTTATTTTATTTCAGGGCTGAGGATTGAATCTAGAGCTTCCAGCATGCTAGGCAAGAGCCCTATCACTGAGCTACATCTTTGGCACTGTGTTATTGCTTGTATCTAGATGTCCCCACAAAAGCCTCATGTTCTCATAGGTGGGGCTTTTTGGTGCTGGCTATACCTAGAGTGTGTGACACTGGGATTAAGGTTGTATGGTACTAAATTAGACCACTGAATGGAATTATCTTAGTTTTGGGTATGGCTGAATGGATTTACTGAAAACAGAAGCCATACCATAGATGTGGGTGTTACCACCTAAAAGCCTTATAGCATGCATAGGATAAAAAGGAAAGGCAAACTCACTGCTTGCTGCTTGGCTGCTGCTACTTTCTGCCTGCCCGGCCATGGACTCTTTTCTCTTCTGCCTTGCCCCTCCGTCATACAGCCCTGCCTTGCAGCCAGCTGACTATGGACTGAAACCGCTACAAACTCTCAGCCAAAATAAACCATTCCACTTTTAATTTGTGGATGTCAGAGTCTTGTGTCTCAGCAACAAGAGGTAACTAAGACACTCTGGCTCTGTCATTCTTTAAGACCACCTGTCTTTTTCTTTGGCCAGATTGAAGAAGTAATAGTGATATCAAAGAAATCTTTGATAGTGGCATTAATCCCTGTGAGGAGAAGAAATACTATTTTTGATTTGTATTCCTAGTAACTAAAGCACCAAGATTATATAGCTCTTTGGGAAGCCAGTGTCAGGATTATGTCTTTGCTGGTGATATCTATAGCAACTCTACATATAATCACTGTAAAGTTTCAGAGTACCACTAACTCAGGCATGAGACATGCAGCACTCAAAACTTTTTTAAAACTTCGTACAATGTACATATATTAAAATACTCACAAAAGGTCGTGAGTTCGGTTCCCGGTACCGGAGAAAAACCAAAAAAATAAAATAAAATAAAATAAAATAAAATACAAAATATGGGGAGGAAAAGTCCAGTTTTAACAATTAAATGTTTAAAGACTAAAAGTTGTAAATGCTCCTTTGTATATCCTTCAGAATCCTCTCCCGCACATACTACTTTTTTGGAAACGCTGACCTAGGATGTGCCCCAGTCATTTATCATACATGTTGCAACTGTGTATTTAATGGGGGGGGGGGGTGTGTGGCATGGGCCACAGCTGCTCTGGGAGGGTTCTGGCACCTAAGGCTGTGGTTGGCCTTAAGCTTGCTCTGACAACAGTTCTGAAGGTGTGAAACTCTCCAGCTTCCTCATCAGGTTCGGGGTAAAGGAGCTGGGTGTGGGTTCGGCGATCTGAAGCACAAAAGGCTGGTCTCTCACTGAGCCACAGGTAACAAAAATCTACTAGTAGAACACAGAAGGCTGGTCTCTCACTGAACTACAGGTAACAAAAACCTACCAGTAGTGCTAATTTATGGCACGCGTGCCACAGCAGCTGTTTGTTATCATTGAACGCTCTAAAAGGTTCGCCATCACAGACCTAGATGATCCCTTGGTCGTAGGCCTTTTATAGACTTTTTTTTAATGGAAATGATCCATACCTGCCTTGAGGTGCTGTTGGGAGGAGTCAGGCCAGGAGTGTGAAAGTACTATAGCAGAAATTAATTCATTCAGCCATTTTACAGACAACTATTAAGACCCTAGACCCGCGCACCGCGACTACCACAGTATTTCTGCACTAGGTCACATCTCTTCAGACCTGTGAGAGCGTGGAGGAGGGCGTCTCCCTGCCCGGCTTTTCTCTCACAGAACTGAGGGCTATAACCTTATTAAAAATGGCAGAAGCGGCTTCGGGAGCTAGTGCGGCGGCGCGGACTCCTCATGCCCTCTGACCTGCTGGCAGCGGGCGGAGGGGGAGCCGGGCGCCGCCATATTGGCTGTTGTCCTGTGTGGGGAGCTGCGGCGGCGGCGGCGCGAGTGGAGCGAGTGGAGCGAGGGAGCGGCGCGAGTGGCAGCATGACTCGGAGGCGGAGCAGGCCGAGCGGCGGCGCGGGCCGGCGCGAACGGGCACGGGCCGCGGGGCTGCAGAAGCCCCAGGCGCCTGAGCCCCCGCCGCCGCCAAGCTTGGAAGCGGGAGTGGGTCCAGGGCCCCAGGAGGCGCCGGTGGAGCCCGACCGCGACGGCCCCAAGGAAGAAGATGAACCCAAGCTGGTGCCCGGCCCGCAGGTAGGAGCGAGCGAGGCGACTTGCTGGTCGGGCGCTTTCATCTCCTCTGAGCTGGAGCGGGGCGGGGTTGGGCATGGACCGTCCTGTGGGGCTGGGGCTGGAGCCTTCTTCCCGAGTCCGGGGCCAAGGCTTTCTCCCCCAGAGCGGGAGTGGAGGCTGGACCCCTCTGACCAAAGCCAAGGTTCGGCCGGTCCTCCTGTGACCAGGCTGCAGCTGCCCCGCTTCCTCGCCGCCTCCAAACCTGGCCCAAGCTGAAGGTTCTGGCCATACACCCACACTGAGACTGGGCTCTGGTCCTGTGGCCACAGCTCAGCGCTCTGTCCGCCACCTCCCCCTGGGCCCACCTGCCCCTTCTCCCCAAAGCCACTTCCTTGGGCGCTAGAACCTGCAAGACTTCAGCCTCTTGCCTCCCCCCCTGGGAGCGGTTCCTGCGCTTCCTACAGCCCTTGCCCCTCGGCAGCTGTGCCCCCTGATCTGTCTCCTGGGGCCTCCTCCCTCCCTAACGGAGCAGTTGGAGCAGATAGCCAGGCTGCCCGGAAGACTATTTGGTGGGGTTTCTGCACTAAGGCGGAAACCCAGCAAAATTTGCCCTTTCTCTACAGTCCCACGAGGCGGCTCCCCAGTTCCCCCCTCAGATCCCAGGTTTGGCGAATCCTGCTGAGAGTGAGCAGTAGGAGGATTTTCGAAAGCTTCCAGCTTACCACCTGGAAGACGGTCACTTTATTTTGAGCAAAGGAGATAATAGGAGGTACCCTGCCAGTGTTCACTGAGAAGTGGGGGTGGCATGGGCCACAGTTGTTCTGGGAGGGTTCTGGCACCCGGGGCTGGGTGGCTCACCCTAAGCTTGCTCTGACAATAGAGTTTTGAGTTGGTCTTTTGGCTGGGCCTGCCAAGGAAGGCAGGCCCCTGCAGGAGTCTTGGAGGGTCGGATGCAGCGCCGGATGAGGATGAGGCGTGGCGGAAGATGCGTTTGGCTCTGCAGACACTGCATCGGGCAGCAGGGGACTCTGGGAGGCTGGTGCAGCCAGAAGGCATGGCTCTTGACAGCCTTCTAGTAGAATCTCTGGAATTGTGCATGTGAGTGGGGATGCCATTTGGGGTACCATTTCCGGAAAGCCTTCCTTGACCTCCCCAGTTGCGTCAGGTGCCCCCCTGTGCCCACAGCCCTCTGTGCTTCCCTCTGGTAGCACTCCCCATTCTGTGATGAAATGTTGTGTTGATGTGTCTGTTCCCCACACTGGACTGTGCACTCCACAGGGTCCCAGCCTGTGTCATCTATCTGATCCTCCAAACCTTGCCCAGGACCTTGCCAACCCAGAGTAGAAATAACTAACTAGGTGAATGAAAGAGAATTAATCAGCCCGGAATCTGTGCTTATCATAACCCAGTTTTGATGCTGGTTTCCTTTGTGTCTCAAATGACAATGAGAAGTTTTTTAATTAATAAAAATGTCATCACTTATGAAGTTTCAGAAGTCCTATCTTCACAACCACTCCTACCCTGAGTTGGCACTGGTTCTAGAGGGAATTCTCCAGGCTGGACCCCATCCCTGCTGGGTCTGGCTTCCATCCCTAAGGCTACTTGCCCCTCTAACCTATTCTGGCCCTTGGCAGTGCTGTTATATACACCTGGGAGGGTGGGAAAAGGGAGAGCCAGGCAGCTGTCATCCTCTCCCTCCCATTCAGGTCAGACTATACTTTAGGGTCCCTGGCACATAGAGGTGCCAGAAAGCTTAGATGATGACTTAACTATTTGTTTTTATTGATTCAACTTTCCCAAGAGCTATAAGCTTCTTTAACTCCTCTGATATCTAGTTCCATACTCCACTTATCTATTCCACTGCTTGTTCATGCATTTAATCATACCAGGCACTTGACATACCTTCTAATCTTCTCTCTCCCCTTCTATTTCTCTTCTGTGTGTAGCAGAAATATGATGCATTAACTTCTGATATGATTATCTGTCTGCATTTATATATAAATTCTGAGAGTACAAGAAACATGCCAGTCACCATCATACCCCTGATGATTAATAATGGTAATGAACAAACTGAAAGATATAAGTATTATGCTGTTTTTCAGAGCGAAACAGAAACCCACAGAAATTAAGTATTTGCAAAAATGAGTCCCACTATAGGTATCAGGCCAAAAAAAAAAGTCACCCTTTTATATTTTGGGGAATGGGAAGGGGTGGACAGTGTCTCACCATGTAGTTCAGGCTAGCTTTGAGCTTACTATGTAGCCCAGGCTCACATTGATCCTCCTGCCTCAGCCTCCCAGGTGCTGAGGCTATAGGCATGTGCCACCACACCTGGCACTTTGGGGGAATTTTAACAACCACATAGACAAAATAGACAGAGTATTCTGATTGTGCCCCTACTTTTTTGCTCAGGAGGGTGAGTGGGGTCTGGATTCAAGAAGCAGACTTTTGTGCCTTTATGAAAGTACCTGGTTACAGGGTAGGGTTAGTCATTACTCTGCCCACTGGCATTCCTTTTGTGAGGATCTTCTACTCCTGTCCCAACTCACTCCCATCTTACAGGTACAGAGTAGGTAAGGAAAGTGGAGCTCAATGTCACATGTAGGCCGGAATCCAAAGGCAGCAAAGCACACTGGTTCAGGCTGAATGTAGTACGGTAATGCACACCTGTAAACCTGGAACTCAGAAGGCTGAGGCAGGAAGATCTTGAGTTCAATGCCAGCCTGGACTACATAGCAAGACCCTGTCTTCAGAACAGGAAAAAAAAAAGACTATTTTTATCCATTCCACAGACTTGTTCTAAGGTCTCAATTCACATAATTTACATGTTTTATTTCAGCTTTTATCTTAATGTGACCTGTATTTTAAAAATCAAAAGTTTTCTTACAAAACTAGGTTTTTGCCTCTTTAATCTAAAGATCTGGGGGGCTGGGGATTTAGCTCAGTGGCACAGCGCCTGCCTGGCAAGCGCGAGGTCATGAGTTTAATTCCCGGTACCGGAAAAAAAAAAAAAAAAAATAGTAATCTAAAAATCTGGTGACACCAGGTTCATTTCCTCACAAAGTACTAATCCTGAGTAACACCTGCCCCTTTTTTTTAGGTACCGTGTACACTTTAGGCCTTTGTGGTTCTCATTAGGCTCCTACACTTATTTGCCTAACCTGTACACGTCTTAATGCAGGACCTTAAAGAAGAAGAAAAAAACATAAACCTTAAAAGCAGTTGGAGGGAGGCAGTAGGGAATAGTGGAATGGTGTTTACTGACGAGTTGAACTCCCAGCTCTGCCTCTGCTTTGAAACACTGAGTCCCTTTCTTCCCCTTTGAGCCTCATCAACAAGAGAATGTGAAGCAACTTGCACAATACCTAGCACATGGAAGCTCCTCCAAATGGCAGGAGCTGACCAGGTAGCTAGACAAAACCTGAGTGTCCTCACCTGCTAGCTCTGCAAGCTGTCATTGAGCTCTCTTGGATAACTCAGTTGATAATCCAAGTGCGTACACAGCTCCCAGGAGACTTGCTAGAATGTAAACCAGCAGTTGAGGGTGGGAGAGATGAGCTCATCCTACCCTTCCCCACCTCCTATTCCCCTCTACCTCTGATCTTTCTATGGTGCCCTCTGGGACTCTGCACAATTTAGTTTAAAAGAACTCAGGAGATGCAGTTCTCCCAATGCTCAGTGTAAACCTGCTCCCTTGAGGATTTGGAGCAGATGATCAGTCTGTATCTTTATTAAAACTATCTCATTATTATTATGTTTAATTTACTCAGCAAGTTTCAAAATAACCTTTACTGGGCTTTTATTTAGGGTCCACAGAAGGATGAGATAGTTCCTGTCCTCAATGACCTCTCACTTAGAGACCATGCCCACATCACTTCCATAGCCAGTAGGAGGAAGTGACACTAAGGGGACAGCCTTGCCACCTATTGTTCTTGTTTGTAAGCCAGTAGCGACTTGCTGTATAACAATGCCAACAGCCTTTGAAGATAAAGACCTACCCACTCAGGGTTTTAAATTTTTAATTTCCTTGAAATGTCCTAGAGCTACAAGCTTAATGTCTGATATCAGATGGATGATTAAGATCATAATACCTTTGTTTACTACACTTAGAATTTTGGAAAGTAAGGACTGTTTAAATTTGTCTTATGTCGTACATGATCTTTATGTGCTTAATACATAGCTGTTAAACTAAATTATAATTAAAAAGTTAGTTTTCAACTAGGCATGATAGTACACACCTGAAATCCCAGTATTCAGGAGGCTGAGGCAGGAGACTCACTTGAGCCAAGAATGTGAGACCAGGCAGGGCAACATACCAAGGCTCTGTCTAAAAATAAACAAATAAACAAAAATTTAAAAAAAGGTTTCTACTACTTTTTTATCTGCCCTACCCTTTTACTGGGACAGGCTTGCATCATCCATTCATTTAGGTCAGCCATAGCACACTTGCCTGGCATTCTATAAACACCAACCCTTGTTCTGTGCCAGACCCTGATCTAGCTGCAAAAGCAGAAGTTAATGTGACATGGTTCCTGCCTACAAGGAGCTCATGGTCTAGAGAATGTGTATCATAATTGCAGTAATGCTAGTAGAAACTATAGTGTTGGCTTTCTGTGAGTAAAGGTTCCAATCCTACATCCTAGTAAGTGGCCTTTAAAGTGTTTCATCCTCTTGGTTTTTTGTGTATAAAATGATAGCTCACTCGGTTAATGTTAGGGCCCAGCAAGTATTGCCTGTTAAATACTTAGCACAAGCTATAGCTCTGATTATTATAGGTGGTTGGTGGTGAGGATGCCCAAGATATGAAACCTTGAGGAAGTTAAGTCAAAGAACGCTCTCGGAACCTAGTCTTCCAGGTTGGGCAGAAGTTCTCCAAAAAGCAAGATGGAAGAAAGATGTCTAAAGAAAGAAAGCATTTTATAAAGAACCATAGGTGAGCACTGCCCAACTCATTTTTAGAGAGGAGAGATCAGGATGCAGTTATCAGGGCTCTTGTTTCACCACACCAAATGGTTGAGGCAGTGAGGAATCAATGAAAGGTTTTCAGTAGGAAGGTGCACATGCTGTGCCTCAGTAAATTCCCTCTGATAGCGTGTGAAGAATTAATTTGCAGTGGGAGAGGCAGCTACTATTGCTTGGTTCCACTGTTCCCGTGAGCCAGCCTAACTAATCATCAGTTTACCTGTGCTTTGCTGGACCCTATCCCAGACCTACAGAACCAGTCTGTAGGCTGGAGCCCAAGAATCCATTGTTGGATTGCACCAGGTGATTCTGAGTGTGGCTGGATCTAGGAACTGCTGAATTGAGGGGGCCTAGAGTTTTGTTCAAATAATCGGGGTGCCTAAGGAGAAGCTTTTCCATAAGCAAAATCAGAAACAATTTTGGTTTAAAAAAAATAAAGAATCCTCCCCCCATTTCTTCCAGTTATTGCCCTATTAATGACATTCAGTTGCCTGTCAGAATGCTTGCCCTTGCCTACCATATGCTGTGGCCTCTGCTGAAAGATTGGAATACAGTAACTCTTGGGGCACAGGCTCTGCCCTTGAAAAGTTCATAGCATTGTGAAGACAGATTTCAACTACTACAATATATGCAATCAGCTCTATTGTAGAGAGATATAAAAAAAGTGTTAGGGCATCCCAGGGCAAAGCCCAATTTATTCTGCCTGTGGACTTAGGAAGATGTAACACCCAAACTGAGCCTCGCAAGAAGAGAAGGAAGAGGCAGAGGGAATAGCAGGCATGAAGGTGTGATTGCATTATGTGTTTGGGGAAAGGAATGTTTTAATGATTTTTTTTTGTGGCAGGATGGGCAGAGGCAGAAAAGGACTGAGGAGAGGCATACTTGTGTCCTGGGAAGGGTCTGTATTTGCCATTCAGTTCTGTGCCCATACTGCCACCTTCATCCTTTAGACACTAGGTGGCTTCCTGCTGAATAGCTACATGCTCATGCATTCTGGACCAGAACATGGTACAATCCCATAAACCATCTTCCCTTTATTCCCTACCCAAGACTCTTGACTCCTTGTGATTTCCTCCATTCTGAAATGAGTAGACTCTCCACTTTGAAAAGTGATGTGGGAAAACCAAGGCAGAAAC